GGCACCTCAGGACTCAGATCCTGAGATCCCACAAAATCCTGAGCTGGGCATTGTTCTGTGTTCACTTTTAACTTGCAGCTGGGTGATGCTGGCAGGATAAAGCTGAGCTCTGTTTTTCTGGGGTGCTTTTCTCCTCTGGGCTGAGGAGTTTTATTTGTCTGCTGCTTTATTTATCTGGAGTTTTGTTTATCTAATGTTTTATTTATCTGGGTTTTTATTTGCCTGGTGTGTTTCATTTATCTGATGGATCATTTATGGGGCTGCAATTTATTGTATAATTGATGGGGCCATCATTTATCTTGTAATTGAGCTCATCATTTCTGTGCTGTCTCAGCCTCAGTGATGCCAACTGCTGCAGGGATATTCCTCAGGGTGTTGTCTGTGTTTGTTGCAAGTTCATTTTTCCCAAATAATCCACATTTTATCCCTGTTTTCTGCCCTCTCTAGGGAAGCCATGGGCATGGTGCTGCATAAAGACTCCAAGTGGTACCAGCAGTGGAAAGATTTCAAGGACAACAATGTGGTTTTTAACAGTGAGTTGTGAACATTCCCTGCTCCCATCTGGGCCTCCAGCCCCAGCAAATCCCAAATTCCCACTTTTCTCTGTGGGCTTGGGAGCCTGAAACAAGGAAAAATCCTGAAAAATCAAGGGAGGTTCAAACAACTTCCAAATTGGTGAAAGGCTTTAAAAAAAATTTTTAAAATCCTGTGATCTTTTTGTCATATAAAGCTGACTTTTGATATCATCTGTGGCTTTTTCTGCAAATGCCCTGAAAATAATCCCAGAATTTAGGTTGGAAAAGCCCTCCAGGACCTTTTGAGTCCAACCTGGAGCCAGGCTCACCTTGTCACCCCCAGTGCCACCTCCAGGGATGGAAACAGCCCTGCTCAAAGTGAGCCTGATCCTGAATTTGCTCATTCCATTGGATAAATACCATTTATATATACCAATACTCATTCCATTAATCCAGAGGGGTTAAATCTGAGTGTTGGAGGAGTTGCTGAGAGATCAGAACATTGCAGGAAAATGGGGAGGAGAACAGGGAGGAAAATGGGGAGGAAAACAGGGAGGAAAACGGGGAGGAAAACAGGGAGGAAAATGGGGGAGAAAACAGAAAAATGGGGAATAAAATGGAGAGAAAACAGGGAGAAAACTGGAGAGCAGGCCTGGTGCTGGACAGAGGGGTGGAGGAGAGGTTGGGAGGGCTCTGAGCTCTCTGTTCCCTGCAGGGTTCTTTGAGATGAAGATGAAATACGACGAGAGCGACAACGCCTTCATCCGAGCGTCGCGCGCCGTCACCGACCGCGTCACCGACCTGATAGGTACCGGGACAGGGACAGGGACAGGGCCAGGGACAGGGACAGGGGCAGGGACAGGGACAGGGACAGGGACAGGGCCAGGGACAGGGACAG